GGGTGAAGTAGGGTGGGGGGTGGGAAAGTATATATTGCTGGTTACTGGTTATTCTGTCTCCTGCTGAAAGTTCTGTGAAGCTGCTTTCTCGTACCCTCTGTTCGCTGGTCTCTTATAGGAGTCCAAGATGGCAGCTCCTTGCTGTGTTAGCTGATAGGGGACCTCTGCATTTATGTCTCCTCACTCTGTGTTCTCTGTCAGTTTCTCATTCCATTTGGTGCTTGGCTGAATTCTTTATCTCTTCATTTCATGGTTAGGGTTTCAGGATTGCTGTTTTCTCTGGCTTAGTTTTTCGGATCTTTGCTGTGGAGGGACAGCTTGGTGCTTCTGCCTAGAGCGCCATGTTGCCGGAAGTCCCTCGGATTCGTATTCTTGATCTGGCCTTTGACATATGTCTATCTCAGATTAGGACTGGGGCTCAGACTCATTTACACCAGAATTCTATTTGAAACCTGATTTATTACTTCCATCCTTGTTATCCTTGGCTACCACCCAAAATCCAGGCCTCTCTTGTTCTCTTGGCCCTCCTCATCTCCACCTCATCCCTATATTGTTCTATGTTTCTTTTCTCTGGATCTAACTTCCTGTTACTCTCCCCTCCCCCTTGATCTTACCATTGTGAGCTCTTTATTCCAGGTTCCATGATAAATCAAGCCCCTGCTGTCTATAGTTGCGTCTCAGAGCACTCTCTTACTTCCTTATTATAAATTAAAGCTGGCTTTCCTCCTAGGACACTATTTTCCTTACAGCTTCTCAAGGGGAGGCCACTTAACCTCCCACATCCCACAGTCAGGGGATGAGGACCACATTTTCCCAGCTCCATAATGATACTTTTATTCATTCACATTCATTCAAATATTTATTGAGTGTCTATTACGTTTCAAGCTCTTCCAGGTGTTGGAGATGTAGCAGTAAACAACAAAAGCTCTGCCCCTTAGGAAGCTTGTATTCTAACAGGTAGATACATCATAAACGTACAATCAATACAAAGTATGTTGCCGAAAGTACTCTGAAGAAAAAGAAAGTTGGGTGAGTCAATAGGGAAGCGGGAGGGAAGGTGTGATGGTTAAGGTTGTATGTTAATTTGGCTAGAACATGATTCCCAGTATTGTGTGTTTGTCCTCTATTTCGTGATGATATTACTATGTGTTGTAATTTAACCTCTATGATGTTAATGAGGCAGGATTAGAGGCAGTTATGTTAATGAGGCAGGACAATATCTATAGGATTAGACTGTATCTTGAGTCAATCTCTTTTGAGATATAAAAGAGAGAAGTGAGCAGAGGAGGGGGACCTCATTACACCAAGCAAAAAGAGCCAGGAGCCAAGTATATCCTTTGGCCCTGGGGTCCCTGCACTAAGAAGCTCCTAGACCAGGGGAAGACTGATGACGGGGACCTTCCCTGAGAGCCGACAGAGAAAGCCCTCCCCTGGAGCTGGCGCCCTGAATTTGGACTTCTAGCCTCCTAGACTGTGAGAGAATAAACTTCTGTTTGCTAAAGCCATCCATTTGTGGTATTTCTATTACAGCACCACTAGACAACTAAGACAGGATGGGTAGGGAAAGTTGGTCACCAGTAAAAAAACAAACTACTCCTCCACCTGGTTCATGTAATAACACTTAACCTTTCCTTTTGAAGCTCCTATCATTTGCCTACATTACCCTCTCTACTTGGTAGCTGGTTCCTAGCTTTCCTCTCCATTCCAAATGTTGACATCATTCACAGTGTCTTCCATGTTTTTATAGGTTGCCCTGACCTTCTCGTTTCTTGACTTTATTGCCATCTCTGTTTGTGCTGCTACTCCATGGTCACAACACTACACCTGGAATACTCCATTTCTGACATCAAATAACCCACTTCGTGACCATGCTCATGTATCCTTCCAGCTTTCTGACTCCTTCATCCCCATTCTACTTGTTCTACAACTTTACTGAGCCCTCTATATCCTCAATTACTTCTTTTTCTCCCAAACTAAGCCATCTCTGTCTTTATGCCCTTAGAAAAGTGGTCCATTGTTTTAGCTACTTTTTTGCCTTTAGACACTCTGGTCCTCCACCTCCTTGCACTTTTGCAGCATTTGCTCCCTTAAAACAAAATGGTCCACTTGTTACTTAGGTATCACTCTGTGACTCCGGTACTACAAAGCTACCACCTAGTAGGCAGAGAGAAAAATATCATCATGCAGTTTTGTAGCCCCCCAACTTGTGGTTTACATGACCAATTAAAAATGTCAGGCCAATTTGCATATGCCAGAATCTTTAGGAAATCCACTTGGACCAAAAATAAATTTAATAGGCTCTGCCACTATAGTCTCTTTGGAAGAGCTACATTAGCAGATACATATGGAAAACTCAATATATTTAATGTAAGCAGAGAGGCTAGGCTTTTGGGTCTAAAAATTGGGGAAAAGACTAACTTAAAGTACAGTTAGCAACTGTAGTAGTCCACTTTTCGAAGCTGAAAATCATGGTCCACATTCAAACCATGATTTAAACAAACTCGGATTGAAGAGATAAAATGGAAAGATTTAAGGGGAAGTATTAAAATGGCAGAAGAGGCACTGTGTAAAGTCTCTACTCTGTCCTTCTGATTTCTTTCTGATTCATGCTCTGACCACCTGCATAACAGGTTCTTATATATTTTATGTACTCATGAACACTTTTTACATATATGCATAGGAGCTGACAAAAGTGAGGAAAAGCAAGGAAACACAGGTTGAAAAAATCAACCTCAACTCCCAGGCTCACCATCTGAAAGCATTCTAAGCACTTCTGATTTTGCCTGTTCCTGGGCTACACGCTATATAAAGAGAACTATGAGGAACTTATTACCTAGTACTATAGATGCAACATAAGGGTAAGAGGGTGTTACACAGCTATCTCAGTCCCTTTCCCAATTATATAAACAAAGACAAAGTAAAAGTTACAGCCTTAGCTTTTTTGCTTCTGCTCTAGACACTATCAATTAGACCATTAACCTTCTACTAGTTTGTTATGTGAAAGGTTTTTCCTTTGAAAATTAAAGCCAATGAAAACTGAACAGAAATTCTTCCATGGAATTCTGAGTAAATCATTTGTGACCATATTTAGAACCAAAGGGGCCCATTATTATAAACTATTCATAATTAATGAACTTTACAAAGACCTTTTCCCAGCTGGGGTGGCTTTTGCCATGGCATTCAACATTGTATTTTCCAACTGCAGACTTGCTTGAAAAGAATTATTCATGCCACATAATCTAAGGAAACAAATTTCTATCAGATCATTTCTCAACACCCCTTGAAAACAAATCTTTAAAAAAATAATAGAAGGACAGGCGTTAACAATTGCCAAATTAACCACCCCCCACATTCTCCTTTTCCAAGGAGCCCTAAAATTTGCACACTCTTATTTCACACTGCAATTCTGTCTTAATTCCTAGAATTTCTTCCTTAAAATTTCTGCACTTAAAAGAAAATCTGAATTCTCTATCTACAGTAACATTTTATTGGCCTAGAAATCAACAAATTAAGTCAACAGCTAATGGCTATTACAGTTTAATATGACATACCATTTAATATGACAGACATATACTGTTTTTCATTACTCCTTTAGGAAGAGCAGACAACATTAGCAAATCTGGGGAGTTTTTTTTTTTTTAACATGCAAAATAAAGATTTGTTGTAAAGCTATTAATATTGTTAAAATCTGCTAATTTTTCTGGCAGCTGCCAAAGGCCCACTAAATCCTAAATAAGTCAACTCTAAACCAATTTGAAAGAAAAGAGATCAGTGCGTATCAGAAATTAGGTAAAGCATTCAGGTGTCTGACATTTGAGGGCAAAGATTTACCTGGCAATATCTGGGTGTGAATCTATCAGAGTGCTGACAAATCGGAAGAACAGAGAGCCCTTCCATTTCACAAATTCCTCCTGTACAAAGAGAAACCAGTATATTTCAGGATGAATTTTAACATATAAACCGTACATGTATTCAGTCATATAACCAACTGTTCACCTTCTTTTGTTTAACATCATACCTGTCAGATGTTCAGTCTGTCTACAGCACATTAGCTCAGTTAATTAGTAATAACTTCCCAACCATCTTGAAAACATGTACCATTTGTTAGTCACAAAGAGAAGTGGAGGAGCACATGGACAGAACAGCATAAAACCTTCTACTGTGTTAGAAACACGGACTCAATGCACATAGCTCAGCATCTTGAGATGTAAAGGTAAAGGGTGTTATGTAGCTATCTTGGTCCCTTTCCCAATTATGTAAACAAAGGAAAAGAAAGAGTTAAAGCTTTAGCTTTTTGCTTGTGGCTCTAGATAGTATTAATTACACTATTAATAACTGTTAAATACACAATTTTATAAATTATAAAATTAATACTTTATAATTATATAAATTCACCAGCCCTCCTCAGAGGAGGCCATCATTAGATACAATTAAATTCTTTTTTTAAAAGACCGAATATTATTTCCCCCTCACAAGAGGTGAAATCTATATTCTCAACATAAATAAGAATATATAATACTTTACAGAGTTTTATAGTTCAATAAGTTTTTTAGCCTACTAAGGCATCTCTTTTGACTCGCAAACAACCCTACGAGACAGCCACGATAAACACTGTGATCCCCATTTTACATATGAAGAAGTTAAGTCTGAGAAACACTGACTTGTTCAAGGTCAAGGGTAGTGACAGAACTGGAACTAGAACTACTTGTCCATGAGTTTGCTTTGCTCTCTACATGATGTTCATCTGCAAAACTTAAACTTACTCTGCTTGACAGGATATCTAAACAAACACCCAAAAGGAATATGAAGAAATAATGACCTGTTTAAAAGGCTGAACTGAACATTAGAAGAGTAATATCCTCACCAGAGTGGGGTCAATTATTTTTAGACTCTACTACAAAGCACTGCATTTCCTAGGCTGCTCACATATTCCCTCAAACCAGAAGCAATTGGGGACGCGGGGGCAGTGCACAGGGGATGATGTCTGTTCTTACCTGCAAGAGATTGGTAAGCAAGATGAGTGTCTGCTTTCGGATGAATGGATCTGAGTCCTTCAGACACATGGAGATATTGGGGATATATTTGTCCACCATGACAGTGTACCGAATGCAGAGATCACACATGACAATGATGACATTGTTGCGGACGGCCACATCATCACACACTTCGAGCTCACGCAGAAGAGCTGGGATGCTCCTCTTCGCCAGGTCCTCATGCTGTAAGCACAGCTTGCCTGTCACGAAGGAGAGGGAAGTGTCTCATTCATTCTGTTCCATCCTACTCCTATGTCTAACTTTTCTCCAGTCATATCTTGCTATAGACTTTATTTACTCTAAGTTAAAACATCGTGTAAAAACTTTCAAACAACAAAAAATCAAAGCCAGACAGACCAGTACTAGATACTGGGAAGTTCAAAATACCTTAACAAAAAATAAATTCCCCCAGGAATTTTGTGAGATATATTCTATGGGATATTCCTCTATGCTAGTACAATTACTTCCCTTTTAAAGTCATTATTTCAATTTTGCAGTTATCTGCTTACCTGGAAAGTAACCAACAAAACCTAACAAAGGATGTATACTACTTTTGATTATACATGTACTCTATAGAAGCTGAATGTCTTTTAAGGAATTTGAACTTTGAGCTAGGTAAATAGGAAAGACTGTTCATCGTATTTATTTCTTGTTCATAGGAGAAAGAGGGCTGCTGAGTTCTACTGTGTTTGTTTTGTGGTCTGGGGAATGTTTTGGTCTTATTTGTAATTCTTAGATATTTGAAAAGTAACCTTGATTACCAAAAAAAAATTCATAACTATTATCTTGCATAAAATACACAAGCACACTAAAGAAAAAAATTCAAATTATAATGTAGTGGTCAGTGTTTTAAAGATTAACAATATGAGTTCATGGAGAAATATTCTCAATAGCTCATCTACCAGTTTTGGGAAGTATCAAATAAACCATCTCCTTTTACAAACTGAACTTTAAAGTTACTTTTCCATTCTCAGAACTTAGTACACTGCCTGCCATATAGTGCTTGATGAATAGACATGGTGCTAAAAAAAATGACAAGAACAGTTATCACTGCAACAAGTTAATATAATCCTACCAAACAAACAGAAAGTCCCTCCCTGCAGTGTTCCACATCTGACAGTCTTGGGTTGCTAGCACTCTGTTATGCCTGCAGGGCTGGGTACTCATATCAGTATCACCTCTAAAAATCACAAGAGCTACAGGAACAGGAGGTCCGGCAGTGTACAACACATTACTGTGGCTAGGCTTACTTAGACAAAAAGCTATGTATGGAAATAGGCTGTGCAAACCACTGTCTTCCCTAAGTTCTCCTTACCTAAGGTAATGACTGCGTGTGCTCTAATCATGGAAGGCATGGCTGAGCCTCTGAACTGGGAAAGCGGTTGTGAGGTGGGGATATCACTGGCACCTTGAGATGACGCTACGGAAGATAAAGAGGAAACAGGTGTATTTACAGTACCTCAAGGGTTAAAAGAGCCACAGACAGCACAGGGCAGAGTATAATTTCAAGTGTCTTACAGTGATCCACATCAGCAGAAGCAGCTAGAATGGACTGAATTAGAAGGAAGACTCGCTTCTCCACTTTGGCTGGACACAGTTGGGCTATATCTCCTAAGGTAAAAATGCATTTCACCTACAAAAAGAATTAGTTGAAAAAGAAAAAAAAAAAAGTTTTTCAGTAAAAGGAAGGCAAAAGAAGAATTAACTCTAGCTAGATTAAGGACTTATTAATGGAAATTTTTTTTTTTGTCCCTCAAATTAAAAGAGCTTTACTATTTTTTATTTCATAAAAACACATGGACACTCTAAGAATTTATAGTCACCACTTAATGAAACTCATCCAAAACTAGGGTAACCGTATAATTTTATCATCTAAATCTAGACACTTCTGTGAGTAAAAGTGCTATTAATAATTATGCTTGACAACAGGGGTAAACCAGGATTATCCTGGGCAAACCGGGATATATAGTCAGCTACCTATAATCCCACCACCCAAAAACACCATCAGTGTTTTTGTATAGAACTGTCTTTTCTCAAAGTATTCTTATAGTTACATGGCTTTATGTTTGTTTTTCTTATACACTTACCAATTGTGCTATTTTGAAGTTTGCATTTATTTCTTTAAATATTAGGTATCCTTTCTTGTCAATAAATAAATATGTTTAACAAACTATATAAGCATGCAATTTAAAAACTACAGTATCACAAATTATTTAAATATTCCACTATTAAGGAGCATGCAGGGTACTTCTAAATCTTTTGCTTTTGTTTACATTAGCTCTGATGAACACCTTTGTAGCTTCGGACACTGTTCTATTTCCTTAGATGTGAAATCCAGCGTTAAAGGGTATTTAAACCCAATGTACATTTTAATATACATTTCCAAATTGTTTACCAGATTAGTTTGCTATTTATACTACCAAAAACATATTTATTAGTATCTGTTTCCTCATATCTACCACTACTGTGTGTACTAATGATATTCAGTTTAAAAGTTAACTAATATTGTTCTTTTGTTTTTTTTTAACCCCAATAATGGAGGGGTGATACTAAATAGTAAAATGTCAAGTAAAGGATTATTTTAGGGTAAGAAAACCAATAATAAATGTGTATGTTTAATAAATGCTGAACAAGCTATCTCTCTTAATGGATTTAAGAAATATTTAGATTATATTTAAAGAAACATTAAGTAAACAACATTTATCAGGTAAAACTTTTTCATATATATTTTGACTGTAAGGTAGATTATTTGGTGACCTTTAACGATTCAAAAAAAATCCTGACGGGGGCAACTCATTGGTCATAATAACTATTTTACTTAGCATGGGCAGGGCTCTGCTCAGACAAATTAGAAGAGCAAGGCTCCTCTAGAAACCCTGGGTTAAGTCCATTCTATGCATCATGGCCCTTTTACCCAAAATGTCCTGATTCTGTCTGGTAATGATGCTTTTTTTTAAAAATGAAATCATGCATAGTAATGACTCAAGCATAAATAGTCTTTTCCTTTAAAAAATCTAAACATGGTCTTTAATCACTAGAACTGCAAGTGCTACCTGGCAAAGCAGGGAATGAACACAGAAAAGAGGTGTTCTATTAATTTTCAAATAGATGAGTAAAACGGCCAATTCTGGTTAAATGATAGGCTATACTGAAGGGCATCAAAAAGCAGTTTATTGTTGTCTTTATTGGACAGTGTCAGATGGTGGAGTCAGAATTACCATAATATATTTGTTGACAGTCAGCCATTCAAATCAGCAAACTGGCTCACATTTATTGGTACATTGGAATCTCTTGCACTGAAATAATTCCTCCAAGCAGGGATGCAATGTAAAACAATTTTGTTGCTTCAAGGTCATTTGAGTTTTGATTCTAAAATATCTCATTTTATTTTAGACATTACTTTAGAACTCCTTAGCACTACCCCTTTTCTATAGTCTGATGTTCAAACAGCTCAGAAGTCACTTTATAATTTAAACAAATTAACCAAAAGAATAAAGAGTATACTCACTTTATTATTTTACCTTATTATTTTTAAGCTTGACTCTACCAAGCTTACAACATAGTGTGTTTTCCCTGTTGGAATCAGGCTACCCACAGGATCTAACTGGATGAAATAAATGAATACTACCAAGTTTTTTCACCTACATAATAAGTACATAAGAAAAAAATAGGTTATCATAAAAGAATTCTTCTTAAAAAAAAAAGTAAGTTATAGTCTAGGAGGATCCTTTTCTTGATAATAGTGTTTGAAATGCCCATTATAGAATAATCCTTAAAAAAATCCAGATGATATATAAGAGAAAAGAATGATGAAGAAAAAGTAGCTGCTTACCAATAGTTCTTCATCCATATTTCCTGCTCCATCTTCCTTAAGGACTATGTTGGAGAGGCAGCACTCACAAGTGGAGAGGACATCCACACACACCTGCTTCAGTAATTCCTGTAGCAAGTTAAAGATAATTTCTGAAAGACCCTAAACATCTACCAGACTATTCACAAAAGTCAAATTTTCTCAGAAGAAACTCTTATTAACTTCAAATGTATAAATGGTAAGCCATGAAAAACCCTAGCCATCCTGCTTTTACATCTTTCTTTTTTCCTACAATTTGTCCAAAACCAAAATGACATACTTTTAGCCAGCAATCTAGCTATGAGAACTGGCTATGTGGAATTATCAAAAACTGTGTGTGTGTGTGTGTGTATTTCTTTCTGCATTTGCCCTACAAGGGCAAAATGCATGTGAGCCAGAATCAACTCGATGGTGAGGGGCTTGGTGCCGAATTCGTAAGAAATTGATTACAGCAGTGCTCCTCCAACAACAGAGAGAAACACTGCAGTTCTGGCAAATACAAGTGAATTAACTACTCTGATAAATAGTATATTTTTAAAAGAATAAAATAAAAAGCTATTATTCTTCTGAGATTTATTCATTAAAGCTTTCAGTGTCTCTCATTAGTTAAGAGAACCTCAAGGGGTCACCACCTGTAGCCCATAATATCTAACTGCACTTAACTGCCAAGGGAGGGAGCTCTCAATCACATTCGATAACTCTTTGGCTTCATTTTCTCTAGAAGGGTGTTCCAAAATACCGAGGTTCAGCTAAGTGCCTCCATCCCAGTGCTTCCATGTTATCCTATGCATACTCTTACTGTAGCAATTATGTTGAGTTTATCTGTTATGTATATGTCTCCACTACACGGCACATGCCCTGGGAAGGGGCCCTGTCTTAACTATCACCCCAGGACCTAACAGCACTACCGTAAGATGGCACCTAATGAATGTTTGCCAAACTGTTGGCAAACCATCATTATAATCAAAATGATTTTTCAGTCTGACTTGACCTAAAATGTTTTAAAACTACTGCCTTTATTACTTTTATTTTTGGTGAAAATATATACAGCAAAACCTGCTCCCATTCCAGTTTCTAGACATAATGATCTGTGACAATGGTTACATTCTTCACATTTTGTCAACATCCTCATTATTTCTGTTCTAGTTGTTTCACTTTCATTTACTTTATCTTCCTGCCCCCTAACCTTCTCAACTATGTTTTAAAATAGCTGTTGACCTTTTGGTCTTTTACATAATTTTTTTCTTTTTTTTAAAGAAACACAATACTCAAGGGTAGCAATCTTTAACTCTCTGGGCTAAACTGTTACTTATTTAAAAGGTAACTTCAGGGAATAGTTTCAATTCAACATCTAAATAGCAACTCAGGGCCATAGTTCTGGGGACTCCTCCAGCCTCAATATGTCTAAAAAGTTTGGATTCTTGAAGAATTTGAAGTTCTGTTCCACATTTTTCTCCCTTTTTATCAGGATTCATCTACTGTGTTCCTGATCAGAAAGTTCAGTAGTGGAAGCCAAACACCATCTAGTTCTTCTGGTCTCAAGATCAAGGAGGCAGTGGTTCATGTAGACTATTAGTCCTGTAGTCCAATTCTGTCTCTGATTCTTGGGTTTGCCTTTATTACTTTTTAAAGGATTACTGCACTCAAGATTTTAATAGACTACATACCCTGGACCATAACATTGGCCGAGAGAGCTTCTGAGATCCATATGCTTTGTCCTGATGGAAGATAAAGGCTAACTTGTTTGAGACTCAAAGACTGAAACTTGGCTGGGTAATATGGCAGATAACTTTCAGAATCATAGCATCTGGGAAAGAACCTTAAAGGCCATCCAGTGCTGGAACCCCCTCCATACAACGATCATGCTAAGTTGTCGTCCAGGTTCTCCATCAACACCTCCAATGACTGCAGTCAGGTTCTGAGGCAAGCCCATTTTTTAGGCAAACTTTACCAAGTTTTTTTCTTCTGAAGGCTAAAATTTGTCTCCTTGTAATTTCCACCCATTGGTCCAGATATGTCCTCTGGTGATCCCAAATAAATCTTTTTTCATGTATTTGAATTTAGAGAGCCCACCCCACAGAATTCTCCCCCTCTCCATGCCAAACACCCCAGGTCCTTCAGCTGTTCCTTAAACAACTTGCTCTGTAATCCCCTCATCTAGTTGCTGTCCTTTGAATATATTCAATTTTATCAACATTTCTCTGAAAAGTTATCACTGAAATTGAATTTCACAGCATGCCAACTTAGATTTAACCAGCACAAAGAGCATGGCCATCACCACTCTTATTCTAGACACTATTTCTATAAATATAGTCCAAGATCTCATAGATTTTTTTATGGTAGCCACAAAACACTATTAACTCATACCAAGCATACAGATAACAAAAATGTCCAAAGACCCAAGTCTTTTCATAAGTACTCCTTTAGGTAATTTGTTTTTCTTAGTAAAATACAGTGTTCATTTACAAAGAAAAGAAAAAGTGTGTGTAGGGGAACAAACAGATCATATGGATTTATAATATCCTAAGATGCCCAAAAATCTAAGGGTCTTACTCCATTGTCTACCAAGGGAGATGGTGTTGGCAGAGCTAAGACATTAGCCCTTATTCTGACATAGTGATGGGTTCTACTTTCTTCCAGTTCTCAATTCTAAATTTGGAGACAACTCTTGGTCTTCTTCACGGGTTCTAACAATGATCTCACTTACTGTTCTAATGACTAAGGGCCATTAGCAATCAGCCAGTGAGTCCTCATGGCCTGACTGCCCACCGAACCAAAATGCATTGCTGTCAAGTCGGTGCCGACTCACAGTGACCCTACAGGGCAGAGTGGAACTACCCAATAGGGTTTGACTGCCCACAGGAGAGAGAGTTCTTTCCCCCCAGTACTGGTGAAAAGAATACTGATAAGAGAATCAGAGGCCTAAGTTCCAGTCACAGCTCTGACTGAGACTCTAAGCTGGATGCCACTGAACCTTGTAGGGCCACAGTTTCATAATCTGCCATATAAATTCTTCCCCACTTTCTCCTATGTCATTCATTCCTCCTATTAGACTCACTACAGTTCCAGATTCCTTTTTTTACTGTTTTCTGCTATATAAATATGATCCTACTTATGTAATATTCCTTATTTGAAAGTTTTTCATACTTTGAGTCCTGAGGTAAAGGGTTAGAAAAATCAAATAAAGCAAATATCTATTTCACCAATATAAGTGCCAAAAGGCATCTGTTATGACAAATAGAAAATGTAATGTATCAGATGAGGATTTTCTTTAAGGAACTTATCAAAGAAAAGGAAGCATAGGAAGATATCTAGGTAGCTCAGATGAAGCAATGTGTTGTTGTTGCTGTCAGGTACCGTCAAGTCGGTTCTGACTCATAGCATCTCTATGTATAACAGAACAAAATGTTGCTCAGTCCTGTGCCATCCTCACAATCACTGCTATGCTTGAGCCCATTGTTACAGTCGCTGTGTCAATCCATCTCGTTAAGGGTCTTCCTCTTTTTTGCTGACCCTCCACTTTACCAAGCATAAAATCCTTCTCCAGGGATAGGTCCCTCCTGATAAAACGTTCAAAGTATACGAGACAAAGTCTTGCCATCCCCACTTCTAAGGAGCATTCTGACTGTGCTTCTTCCAAGCCAGATGTGTTCATTCTTCTGGTAGTCCATGGTATATCTAATAGTCTTTGCCAACATCGTAATTCAAATGTGTCAATTCTTCTTTAGTCTTCATTATTCATGGCATATGAGGCAATCGAAAATACCATGGCTTGGGTCAGGCATACCTTAGTCTTCAAACTGACATCTTTGCATTTTAGCACTTTAAAGATGAGAAATGGAGATGAAGCATTTTTTTTTTTTTAATTCTGGAAAACTTAAAATACATTATAGCAATTATTTAAATTATCTGTGACTTCTAGAATCATTATTAATAACCTCCAGCCCTAAAACTTTTAATCATGATTAGCACTGTCTACGAGCATATCGTATGATAAAAACAGAATTCACAATAATAGAATACTTTATTGAGACATTGATAGGGATACCTTCAAGGGACTTGTTATGGATTGAATTGTGTGCTCTCCCCAAAATATGCTGAAGTCCTAACCTGTGAATGTGACCTTAATTGTCAACAGGGTCTTAGCAGATGTAATTAGTTAATATGAGGTCATAGTAGAGTAGGGTGGGCTCTAATTCAACATGACTGCTGTCCTTATAAAAAGAGGAGAAGAGACAAAGAGACAGACACAGAGGGAAGACGGCCACATGAAGACAGAGGCAGAGACTAGAGTGACACTACCACAAGCCAAGGTATGCTCAGGGCTATCAAGCAGTTAAGAAATGAGGAAGGATTCTCCCCTAGAGCCTCTGGAGAGGGCATGAGGCCAACACCCTGAATTCAGACTTCCAGCCTCCAGAACTGTGAGAATAAATTTGTTGTTGACCCAGTTTGTGGTACTTCATTACAGCGGCCCTAGAAAACAAATGCAGTCAAAGTGACTGTTTGCCTTCCATGAAACACTGATTTGTACCTGTGTTTCTGTATATATATACAAACATAAATGTAGGAGATGGGCAACTTTGGGGACACGACTAAGAAGATACCAGCAATGGATCTTTGAGTAGTGCAGGCTTAAAAGTAATAGGATAGGCATTTTCCAGGACTATGACTCATCAAAAGATCAAAAACTTTATAGTCTGGAGGGATCCCTCTGACTAGGTGGAAAAGCATCTGAGCATTCCTGGAAGGAGGGTGGAGGTGAAAGAGGAGGATATACAAAGCTACGTCAAGTACCCAGGCTACAACTTATCAAAAGATAACCTTGCAGAATTCTCTCCAGGAAGCATGTGCCCATCAGCAGGCTGCCTTACTGGAAGACACCTGTACCTAGAACCAAGGTTGTGACCATCTATACGTCTCTAGAGGCTAAAATTTTTTGGGGAACGTCTACTGCTTGTCACATAAATTTTCCTTATTGTAACAACGGCTGCTGGGGACTACACATCCTTACAGGTTCTTTAGTTACCTGTAAGATAATTTCAAATTTCAAAACAAACAGAACAATATGTCTAAAGACAAATAAATTATAAACATATCAAGGAGGAGTTAGTCTTACCTGTTCCTCCACAGGTGTCTCTGCAGATGCTCTACAGAGGCCTTGCAAAGTATCAACAGCTGAACTGATCACCTCTAAAGACCACTGAAATCCATTCAGCTTACACTTGATAACATCTGAAAAGGAAGCCAAAACCCTTCAAATTCAACTGCTTAAAAATATATATATATAAAATATCATATCATATCATATAAGTACAAAAATGGCTGAGCTGAGAGGCACCATCTTTACCAGGAAGATTCTACAATAGGCACTCACCAGTCACCTTGTCCCGGGTACTCCTAGGAAGATGCTTTGCGATATGCCCAATAACACACAGAATATGTCCCAGGGTGTTTGAATTGGGATTCTGTTGGCTAGGAAAAGGGCAAGAGAAATCTCAGTATAGAATCAAAGGAAGCACTACTGCGTTTTCTTCTGGAAAATGATTAATACTAGAGGAAGTAGGGTAATAGCATGGTTTAAGAGTCAAGTTGTAGGAACATTAAGATACTTAATGTACTTAGACAAAAGATAATCAGAGAGCTTAAAATTGATTCTGTTTGTCATGTTTGTTTTTATGTCAGAACTTAAAGAAAAGATCTCTGTATATGAATAGCTATGAAACAGCTCACTTGCTTAAGATATTTTGCTTTGTTTCCAACAATCTTTAGTGTCCATTAATGGCTAAATTGTAAGCAAGCAAACCTGCTGATTTTCTCCCAGGACTTGATTATTTTGGTGTAGTCCAGCTTCGGTGATGAGCAAGCAATCTTGGAGAGCAGCATCCAGGCTGGTGCAGAATGTTCCGTGCCAGTGTGGGATATCAAATTATTTATAAAAGTGGATGAGAATTTATCTTTCTTGGACCAGATATGAAAAGCCTTATTTAAATAACGACTAGAAAAAAAGATGGGAAAGCAGCATTGTAATTACAAATATACAAAACTACTCTGATCAGCCTCTCTGCTCCCAAATTCCTCTGACACATAACATATCCATGCAGAGCTAGCTAGTGGTATATCAGATATCAAACAAGATATCTTTTCAATTTTTGCATAGAGAATACATTTGACTTAATTCCCTCCTTATAAAATGTTTATTTTTAAGCAAAGAATAACATTTCATAATTCATTTGAGACTCTTCCCATCCTCATTCCCTCCAATATTTCTATGGAAACATATGGGATAGTTTATCAATTAATACCTTAGAGTTTATAGAGTTAAAGTGACAAAAATATAGACGTTGTCCTCTTTTCAATGGTAGTATTATAGAGAAATGGCACCCTAGCATTTAAAAATGGTCGTATTAAAAACCAAACCAGGTGCCACTGAGTCGATTCCAATGTATGGTGACCCCATGTTTGTCAGTGTAGAACCATACTCCACAGGGTTTTCAATGGCTGATTTTTCAGGAGCAGACTGTCAGAACTTTCTTCTAAGGTGTCTCTTGGTGTACTCGAACTTTCAACCTTTCAGTTAGCAGCCAAGTACCTTAACTGTTTGCACCACCCGGGGACTCTGTGATCATATTAAACTCAATAAAATTTGCTATGACCTGCTAATACCACACAGAAATACACCTACTCCTCACTTATCTAATATCTCATTATCTGACATTTCGAATTTATGACAATAATTTAAAAATATTCTATTTTGGGCATTAATGACGTACGTCTGGCAGTAATGAATGCTGAGGTGTGAGCGGCCCAAATGCTCCTGGTCTCCACTCCTGTCACATTACCTGTCCTCTCCCAGTCTACAACTATGGCCTCATGGGAAGTTCCTTATGATCAGCTGACACAGGAACAGAAAACTCACGCCTGGTTTACAGATGGTTCTTCGCGGCATGCAGGTATTACTTGTAAGTGGAAAGTTGCAGCACTAAAGCCCCTTTCTGGAACCTCCCTGAAGGACAATGGTGAAGCGAAATCCTGCAATGGGTGGAACTTTGAGCAGTGCACCTGGTTGTTCACTTGGCTTGGAAGGCGAAATGGCCAGATGTGCAAATGTATACTGATTCATGGACCGTGGCCAATGGTTTGGCTGGATGGTCAGAGACTTGGAAGGAACATGATTGGAAAATTGGAGACAAGGAGGTATGGGAAGAGGTATGTGGACAGACCTCTCTGAATGAGCCAAAGAAGTGAAGACATTTGTTAACCATTCACAGCCAGCTGGTCTCGGAGAACAGAGGATTATTTTCAAGCCTTGAGAGCTAATGTAAATTGTTCTGCTGGGTTTGGGACTTGCTTGGTACTCATTATTCCTTTTTTCCCTCCAATTTCTCCCATCTGTAATGGAAATGTCTACCTGTGTCTGTTCCACCATTGTACTTTGGAAGCAGATAACTTGTATTCTAGATTTCACAGGTTCACAGATGAAGAGGAATTCTGCCCCAGGATGGAATCTGGACTTGGAATTAATTTAAGAATTTTGGTATGATATGATGGGAGTGAAAGTGTCTTACATGTGGCAATGACATGAATTTTGGGAGGCCAACAGGTGGAATGTCATGGATTGAATGTGTCCCCCACAAATATGTATCAACTTGGCTAGGCCATGATTCCCAGTATTGTGCCATTGTCCTCCATTTTGTGATTTGATGTAATTGTCCTATGTGCTGTAAATCCTAATCTCTGCCCGTGGTTAATGAAGCAAGATTAGGTTATGTTAAAGAGGATTAGGGTGGGATGCAACAACCATACTCAGGTCATAGCCCTGATCCGATGTAAGAGGAATTTCCTAGGGAGTAGTCTACATCACCTTTTATTTTATAAGAGATAAAAGGAGAGAGAAGAGAGCAGAGGAGGGACCTCAGTACCACAAAGAAAGAAGAGCCAGGATTGCAGCACGTCCTTTGGTCCCAGGGTTCCTGCACTGAGAACTTCCTAGACCCAGGGGAAGACTGAAGCCGAGACACATGGAGATCTCCAAAGGACGCTGGGCCTACAGATGCTGAAAAAAGACAAGGACCTTGCCCCAGAGCTGACAGAGAAAACCTTCCCCTAGAGCTATGTGTCAACTTGGCTGGGCCATGATTCTCAGTGGCTTAGCAGTTATGTAATGATGTAGTCTGGCATTATGTAATGATGCAGTCATCCTCCATTTCATGATCTGATGTGGTTATCCTTCATTTTTTGCCTAATGCCGATCTTCACATAATGACCTGGTCTTTGGAACCTAATCTTGTCGATACGTGAGGAGTGAGTATAGATATTACAAATCTTTTTAAGATAAAATAAAAAATGGTTTTGATGTATTAAACTGTGTTATGTCCCTATTGTTTTTAAACCATCTCTTGTTTTACTTCTTCCCACAGCATTGAGTGAGGTCATATTACTCATGAGATAAATTCTATATTATATATTTAAATGAAGAGAAAAACACATTCCTTCCCCCAATTAATTTTTCTTAGACTGCTAGGCACACACACACAGACTTTCTTATTAAGTAAGTAAAAAAAGAAAATTCTCAAATCATGCAGAACTAGGCAACTATACCATAATAAACACATTCACACACTGCAGTAAGCATATGCATATAAACGAATGGTTTTATTAATAAATTAGTTATTGACTAAAAATCTATCCACATATGTCTGGAGTTTTACTGCAGAGAACTCACAACGCAATTTATATCTAATGTCCAAACACCACAATATCCATGTAATTGAAAAATATTTTAAAATATATTAACAAGAATGAGAAAAGACAGTCCTTCGGATGGCCCAAACAGCTACCATTACTCCCCATTCCTTCCTCCCCTGCTAGCATCTGCTTTGGAACAAACCACTGTGCCTCCTTCTCAAGCCTAATGGTTTGTCTAAATAAGCAGCAGGGCTAAAGAGATACAATTCCAGGCTAACAATTCTGGGCTGATGCCCCTATATCTGAGTACCTCCCTCTTCAGGTGATCAGGTGGGAAAACTTGCATTGCACTCTGTGCAGTAAAATATATAACCCCATGAATATAAAACCAGGTGAGGAAAGATCCTCAGGGGCCCTCGTCCACAGTGCAAAGAGAGGAAGCAACCCATGGAAGTTTTCCATCCTGCCTGGAAAGCTTTTGAACTAGGGAGGGCTGCTTGTAATGGAACTTTTCCTGTTGTACATTATCCTTTGTCTATGAGTAATTAAAACGCCTTTCACTACTGCCAACACCATGTACATGTCTCGTGTGTACGACTTGATCAGGATAGTGGACATAAAACCCATGGAGTGGTTGGTACACTGAGTGTAATTCTCCTCCCAGTACTCTGGTGGGTACTTGGAATCTGGAGACAGCCTTTAAGGCAACCTGCATGTGCAATGCAAAGAATCACACAAAATATTAAGTCAAATTTACTACATGAAGCCAACAGAATGGGGAAAAAATTGTCTGAACTTCCCAGTTTTGAAAGCAAATTTGGCTCTTCTGTGACAACTTACCTATCTCTTACAACTCACACCTCTTCTATATCAATTCACAAAGTCCCCCAACTTACCTCCACTTTCGATCACAAGCCATGTGATACAACAGACCTGATTCTTTTGAAAAGTTTTGACTGACTTCCTTAGAAAGCTAGAAATAGAAATGCCATACTATCCAGCAATCCCATCCTAGGAATATAACCTAGAGAAATAAGAGCCGTCACACAAATAAGACATATGCACACTCATGTTCACTGCAGCATTGTTCATAATAGCAAAAAGATGGAAACAACCAAGATGGCCATCAACAGATGAATGGATAAACAAACTATGGTACGTACACACAATGGAGTACTATACAACGATAAAGAACAATGATGAATCTGCAAACCAGCTCACAACACTGATGAATCTGGAGGACATTATGCTGAGTGAAGTAAATCAATCACAAAAGGACAAATATTGTATGAGACCACTACTGTAAAAACTCATGAAAAGATTTACACACAAAAAGAAACAATCTTTGTTGGTTACGAGGGATGCGAGGGGTTGGTGGAGAAATACTAAACAGACAATAGTAAGTGTTAACTTTGTTGAAGAGTAAGACAGTATACAATACTGGGGAAGCCAGCACAACTTGTACAAGGAAAGGTCATGGAAGCTCCACAGACACATCCAAACTCCCTGAGGGACAGAAGTGCTGGGCAGAGGGCTGTGGGGACCATGGTCTCGGGGAACATCCAGCTCAACTGGCATAACACAGTTTATAAAGCAAATGTTCTACATTCTACCTAGGTGAGTAGCCTCTCGGGTCTTAAAAGCCCATGAGTGGCCACCTAAGATACTCCACTGGTCTCACCCCTTCAGAAGCAACGGAGAATGAAGAAAACAAGACACAGGGGAAAGATTAGTTCAGAAGACTAATGGACCACAACTACCACGGCCTCCACCAGACTGAGTTCAGTACAACTAGATGGTGCCCCGCTACCACCACTGACTGCTCTGACTGGGATCACAACAGAGGGTCCCAGACAGAGCTGGAGAAAAATATAGAACAAAATCTTAACTCACAAAAAAGATCAGACTTACTGGCCTGACAGACTGGAGAAACCCCAAGAGTATGGCCCCTGGACACCCTTTTAGCTCAGAAGTGAAGTCACTGGTGAGGTTCATCCTTCAGCTAAAGATTAGACAGGCCCATAGAAACAAAATGGGACTGATGGGGCACAACAGCCCAGGAACAAGGACTAGAAGGCAGGAGGGGACAGGAAAGCTGGTAATGGGGAACCCAGGGTCGAGAAGGGCAAGTGTTGACATGTCGTGGGGTTGTTAACCAGTGTCATGGAACAATATATATACTAACTGTTTAATGAGAAACTATTTGTTCTGTAAACTTTCATCTAAGGTATAATAAAAAAAAAAATTGTGATTGACCTTGATCCTAATATCAAACCATGGACACCATAAGTTCTCATTTTACCTGACCTC